CCTAGTACCTCACAGGTTATCATGAGTGATCTTCCGAATACTCGAGTAACTCCGTCACATCCTTTCACACATACTGGCTTAGACTTCGGCGGTCCATTTGTTGTGAGGGAACATAAGCGTCGTAATGCAAGGCTACTTAAGGTATATATATGCATTTTCATATGCTTTTCCACCAAGGCAGTGCACATAGAATTGGTGGCTGACTTATCATCAGAGGCTTTCCTAGCTTCATTTAAACGATTCATGGCGCGAAGAGGCAGGGTCGCATGCCTGTATTCGGACAATGGGACGAATTTTGTGGGAGCAGCTAGAGAACTTAACGACTTGCATGAGATGTTTGCGAAGGAACAAGTACAGCGAAAATTAAATGACTTCTTTGTAGAAGCACAAATTCAGTGGCAAAACATACCTCCTAATGCTCCGCACTTTGGAGGTCTTTGGGAGGCAGCTATCAAGTCTGCCAAGTATCATATGAAAAGAATTATAGGCAATGCTTCTCTTAATTATGACGAAATGTCAACAGCAATCACTGAGATTGAGGCTATTTTAAATTCACGTCCTGTAAGTCCAATGTCAAACGATCCAAATGATGTTCAAGCGTTAACACCTGGACATTTTCTTATTGGTAAACCATTAAATAGCTATAGTCATCCGAGTCTAGAAGACATTCAGATAAATCGTTTAAGCCGATGGCAATTGGTAGAAAGATTACGCCAACATTTTTGGCAACGGTGGCATGTTGAATATCTCAACAATTTACAAGGTCGAAGTAAATGGATGAGTAATAAAGGCCAACCTCTTAAAGTTGGACAACTGGTTGTAATTCAACAACCAGGGCTGGCACCCTTGCAATGGTTAATGGGACGTGTGTTGAGTATATACAGAAGTTCTGACAATAAGATTCGATCAGCTGAAATTAAAACTAGTAATAGCATAATTACTCGCCCATTGACTCGACTAGCGATATTACCGATAGACGTTTAAGTATCATATAATGTTCAGCTAATTATATTTATGTTATTATCCATACTATATGTTTTTATTAATCGACGAACTGTTCTTAATTTCAATTTAATTATAAGTTTAATCACAAGTATTTCTATATCATTTGTAATACCATAATCAACCATTTGTTTATTAGCGTCATTTAATATGTCTGTTAATTTTCGATTGAAACTAAGAGGTTTCAAGGGAGGCAGTGTTAGTGTGCAAATTCTAAGTTTTTTGAATTTGCGATTGCCACCTCTTTAGCGCACACCCCTGCGTTCAGCTTCCCAAGCAAGATCTAGTGTGGCGCTTGTTGTATGGCGCTGTTGTATTGGCGCTGAGGTGTATTGGGTAGCGTCGGTTTTTGTTGGCGCCAGAATTTTCTCGTTCTCTGAAGGATGAACATCATCCTAAGTTGCGTACATTAATACATAATTTTGTATGCCTTATTTGTGAGCAAATATATCAAATTTCAAACTTGTGATGTGTGTCATCATTGGAATAAAATAACTAGCGGATACTCATATTGCATGATATCCCAGAACCGACAATTTGATCGGCAACAATTAACATCATACACCCTCTCACAAAAATTTTTGCGAAGGACAAGGGGTTGCCACTGTATAGCGCGATGCGGATGCAGCATTATGCAATATTTTTACGTGGTTTCAATTTCACCATCGAGTATAGAAATTCGGAGCAAAACGCTAATGCAGACTGTCTTTCCCGTCTCCCAATTTTTGGAGAACCGGAAACTTTTGATGTTGCCGATTTGTACAACGTAAATACAATAGACTCTTTGCTCATTACGCCTACTAAATTACGAATAGAATTTCAAAAAGATAAAAAATTACAAAAGTCGTCAGCGCGCTACGTTATGGCAAAACTCTTACACATGCTGATACTTGGGGCATTGATCCAATAGAATTTAGTTTGGAGGGTGATATTCTTGTTCGAAATCACATGATTGTGATTCCGACTACATTACGTAAAGAAGTCCTGCAAGAACTACATGCCGGACATTTTGGCATGACTAAAATGAAAGGTTTAGCGCGAAGCCACTGTTGGTGGCCCGGAATCACACGCGATATCGAGACGGTTGTAAAAGAATGCGTCGAATGCAATACAGTCGCAAACGCACCGAAAAACGCTGAAACACATGTGTGGGAAACACCCACTGCGCCTTTCGTGCGATGGCACATCGATTTTGCATACAAAGACAATACGATGTTCTTTATATGTGTCGACGCGTTTACGAAATGGCCGGAAGTTTATATTGTTCAAAATATGCTTATAGAACCGACCATCGATATTTGTAAAGAAATCTTTGCGAGATTTGGATTACCGAAAGTTATTGTAAGCGATAACGGTCCTACCTTCACATCTCAGCGTTTTCGACAATTCCTTCAGGCTTACGGCATTACGCATAAAACCTCTGCTCCTTTTCATCCCGCATCAAATGGGCAAGGAGAGGTACGTCCAAACAATTAAAAGAGCTTTACAGAAAATGCCAACTGGCAAGAATTTACATTCTAGTTTACAGACGATCCTTTTCCAGTACAGAACGATGCCTCATGCCGTAACAGGAATTCCACCTGCGGAGTTAGTTTTTAATAGAAAGATACGAGCAAACCTCGATGTAATGCGCCCAAACACAAGCGAAGAACGCGACGAAAAAATTAAAGCATAGAAACAGTGTCGAAATTTCAAAACGAACGACCGAGTGAAAGCGAGGAATTATACCGGTAAGACTAAGTGGATTTTTGGCACTATAGTGCAGCGCATCGGGAAATTAAATTACTTAGTTAGGTTAGATGATGACCGGATTTGGCGACACCATGTCAATCAGTTACAATCTACGGGTGTCCAAAAAACTGTAGAAGATTGCGATTATTATACTCCGCCGGACGAAACTGAGTCGTCAGAGCCCGCAATCGAGAGCGATACCGACCCGGGGCTTGGTGTGTTTTCGAGCGCGGAATCGATGCCGGGCCTCGGAATCGTACCCGCGGTTCGCACACTTAGACTTAGGAATAAACTCAAGGCACCTGAACGTTTGCAGTACCACCACGCGGAAAAATGATTCCGGTATGAATTAAAGAAGATAGATTTTTTCTATTTTACAAAGGAAGGTGTTGGGTGCACCCGTACGTTTGTATAGTTCGATTATTGCCGCGCATATTTCACCCGCGAGCAATTACGTGTATACGAGTGACGTCACGAGACGGCGCGAGCGCCGCACGAGAAAAACCTCGAGAAGGAGAGCGCAGAGACGGCCCGTCCCCGGCACGTTTACGTTGTCGGACCTTCTTGTATCCCGAAATAAATAAAGCATCCGGTTATTTAACGTGAGGTCTTTTGTATCCTTATTGCGCACTTTATCCCGTACAAATACGAATACAACAATAATCATATTTGGTAAAATTTACGATTTTCTCGTATATAAT